TACTCTACTCTACTCTACTCTACTCTACTCTACTCTACTCTACTCTATTCCCTATTCTACTCTACTCTACCCTACTCTTCTCTTCTCTATTCTATTCCCTATTCTACTCTATTCTATTCCCTATTTTACTCTACTCTATTCTATTCCCTATTTTACTCTACTCTATTCTATTCCCTATTCTACTCTACTCATTTATTTTATCGAATGTATCAAATTTGTGTGTCACTCATTCTAGGAACTTAGTGAAGCAAAGTCTAACCATTATTGGATAAACTGTGGAAGTCAACCTTAGCATTTTTTTTTTTTACCTTCAAGGCTAAATTCTCAGAAAAATGGAGGATGGGAACCAGCTATTCTTTTGTTGACTAATTGGTAGAATTCCAAAAAGAAAATCCCAATATACATATATGTTAAACCATTTCCGTACCATTTCCAAGGGTTGAAAAAAAGGCGAATTCTGTCCCACCAAAGTTATGAAACAATAAACCCATAGGTTGTAGAACAGCACAAGATTCTTTAGCCTTTTCTATTGTAGAATAACATAGTGACATTAGGAAAATTCATTAACTACAATGGCTGGTTGGATATACAGCACTAAGCTATGTTTTACTTTAATGATAGCCAAGTTGTTATTGGCATTGGAGCCAAAACTAAACAAACCAATTATAGCTTCCAGTTGAGGGACTCCATTAAGTCTTTGAGAAATTTACCAGGCGTTCTGTTCCAAACATGTAACCAGGCCCAGGATGAAGAATTTAAAGCTAAGCTTGCATTAAATTATATTAAATTGATTAAATACAGCTGATCATTTCCCCGTGACTTTAATAGTTCCCTATTTAGTGTCAGTATTTGGTCCAAACCCCAAGTAATTTTAGGCCTCGTGAATCTTAAAAACGCTACACCGTGCTCAAATATGTGCCTTTAAGAAATCCAATCTATTTTTGCTTAAGAAAGTGGTTCAGCTGATGTTTAAGGAACAGAAGCAAGTAAATTAGTGTGTAATATATGGGCTAGAGAGTTGGTGAGACAGTTTGACTCCTAATTTGGAAACAGATTCATCTCTGCACATTTCAGGAGAATCACTGGCCCATCTGTGCAACCTCACTTCCAGGAGAAAGTCCTGCCTTCTTTCAAAAGCCTACGGTTTCATTTCCTGGTGTCATTAATGCAAGGTGTATTTGCACATTTGGCTCTAAAGAGTCACCCTAAATCTGCGCTTCTCTTTGTCAGTCTGTACAGATTCACATCCCCAGGAAATGAGACCAACAGGAATTGTGGGAGTTGAAATCCAACCCTTTTGGC